AGCCTATCCGGCCTTCGTAGATATTAAACTTATTGATATGTTAAAATATTCCGTCAGGGCATTGATCCTTTTTAATAGCCGGATTTTTTTTCTTGGGTAGTTTCACTTGACTTCAGTTTTGTACATGAACAGTGCATGTGTCTACGTGTGTATTTATTTATTTATTTTTTTTTTTTTGATGTTTTTCTATTTAATCTTTATTGAACGTTCCGGTGACCTGATTGTAAGGCATATTAGAAAAAATTAAATTTTACATGTACTAAATTAATCCCTTTGGAAATAAATGACTATGGACCTGGCAATGCCTCAAATCACTTTGAAATCTGACAGGTCAAATGAGTCGTCTTTAGAAATTCAGAATAAATGGCTACATGGGAGGTCACCTTGTAAAATATGTGTAAACTTGGAATCTCTAATGTTGTGTAACTATATGTAATTAGCCTTAAAATTTGTACTCGTGTGTTTTATGCGGTAGTGACACCTATTGTCTTTTCCTAGTTACCGTAGACGTGCAACACTTCGCTAATTTCCGACTGTGTTCGGCACCCGGGAAGAATCAAATGACCTAACTTTTCTTTTATCTTTGTCCCCAACTTTCAGCGACCTTACAACTAAGCTACTTGAATCATTGTCTTCATTAGAAAAAGGAATTTTTAGTGGTATTATTTTTATATGGATTGTATATGCCGAAGAAACATTAAAATTTTCTGCAAATTTTGATGGTAAACTATAAAGTAAGCATGGTAAGGGATATCTGTTGTAATCATGATAATTTACCTGCCCCCCTCTGAAGCCTTTAACTCTTAAACTCATTTTAATATAATACATTTTTAAAAAATCAAAAGTAAACTGAAACATGATCTTACATAGTGTTAAACATTTTTCATGCTGTAATTGTGATATATAGATGCCTTGTTATCACTGTACATATATACCCGGTACTATACATATTTTGTAACACTTGCCACTCAAAATAGAAGCAACATTAACTTATTAATAATTTTAAGTTTGCTCAAAAGTGCACTAGTTTTTCTGGTTGCTGCATATTTTGGCATATTTCTTAACCGATTTTTTTTTTTCAAGATTTAAGATTTTATTTAAAATTTCATAATATAGCTTAAACATTTCATAAAAATATTACATTCTCTACATTGTCGTGTAAATTTGTTAATTTACTTTAAAATATTCGAGTACTGCTGGGTATTTCTAAAGAATAGATAATCAAATTCATAGAATTTCTGTGTTTTACTAGCATCTATATTGGTGAATTAAATACATCTTTGTCCGAGTGTTGTGATATATATTTTTTAGTAAAACTCACTGAAGGACAAAGCATTTATGATTAAAATTAGTTATCTTCGTACAATGTCTAAAAAATACTGATTTCTGCACAGTTTGCAGAACTAATATATAATCAAATCAATAAATCTTATTGATTAAAGTTTGCATTTATTAAATATATTTTCAAATACCCTACTTAAATTTAATTATAAAAAATCACTAAAACATACTTCGAATGTTGCTGATATGTTTTGATGTTTTTAATCATCCTAAGAGTGACCTCAGTGTCACTCAGGAACACCTCAGTAGTAGCCACAGTTTAAATCTCAGGGCTACACAGTATCAGCTCAGTGTCCTCAGAACCACCTCAGTATTCCTCAGTACCCCTTCAGTGCCAACAGAGTAAACCTCAGTGCTTCTCAGTATTACCTCAGTGTCCACAATGGAAACCTCAGTGCTGCTCAGTACTATCTCAGTCTACACAGTAGCAGGCTCAATATCACTCAGGGTTTTCTCAGTACAACTCAGTACTACCTCAGGGTTTTGTTAGATCTCAGTGCCTTTTAGATACAGTATAGAATGATATCAAGATAAGTTTTTTCAATATCCCATACTCTGGCCTTGATAGTATAAAATTTCGAAGACCGAGTTATCACAAGAATTCCATTGAAGGATTTTTCAACAAGCCTAGACTATATCTAGTACTCTTTGACGCCGTGACTTCATACAATAAGCATTTATGACCTACACTGTTGGTAACAAAGCTGCAGAAAAGATATCTTGCTGTTTGTATTTTTGATGTCGCTATCATGGGAGATAAGTGACATTCGTTATTTCCTTGTACCTAAAAATAACACACTTTTTGTACCAAAGTTCTAAATACATTAAAAAACCATTACTTGCATTTCTTTATTACATCTACATATGTATCTAATTCTTAGTGGTGGCGAGGGCATGATTACCTCATGTATTTCAACATATCTAGTTCTATCTTTGTTTGGTAACCAAAGATTTTCTTTGTGTGATTGTTGTATACTGATAGAGATGTATGAGTAATACTTTTCTAAATTCAATCGTCAAAGAATATATTTGTAAATGAATGACAGTAGGTACATGTTCTGTAAACTTAAAAATTGGACAAAGTGTGATGCAGTGGAAATGGATTTTGAATGTTCAGGTATTCTAAACATGAATAAGGAGAATGTATAGTTAAACAAAATAAAAACCTTTTCTTCTTTGAAAATAATTATAGCATTTTGGCTCTATACGATTTACAATCGATAATAAGAATTAGGAAGACAATGGGGAGATCGTTCGAAGTTTCCCGTTAGAGTTTGATCTACTTGAGGTGGAAAAAAAGATAAGAGATTTTATATTCCTAACTCATTGTTATAGATCAACTTAATAAATCAGCAATAATTTATAATCCACTAATATCTGTATTTGAAGCACAGCTGAATTATCGCCTACGTGACGCAGTGATAAGAGCGTTTGTTCTAGAGTCGCAGAGTAGTGAGTTGATCTTTACGTCGCCGGTTCGAATCCCACTGTGGGACGTGGAGACTGGTCCTTCTGATGAGACATATAAACCAAAGTCCCGTGTCGCAGTAAGTGCTGGCACGAAAAAGATCCCTCGTTCACTTTTCAATGGTCATAAGTGCCAGGTTCAGTCGAAATTTGCAGCCTTCCATTGACAATTGGCGGAGTTCCAACATGAGTGAAAAATTTTCGATGGTATGTAAACCAGTATTCTTAAGAACGTTTTATAGACCTATTGATTGCTTCTGAACCCCCTCATTAGCCCTCCATCATTATACAGATTGTATTTTGATTCTTGTTGTTTTTGCTACAGTTTTGTTTTTTTAAATTTGTTTTTCGGGTTTTTATTTTAGGGAGTGGGGTGGGTGGGTGGTGGTGTTTGTTTTTTCTCCTCCTTACCTAATATTAACAGCTCCCCATGCCATGACCTGTTCGCAGTCTGGGTCAAGACATTGATAAACAATCTAGTCTAAGAAGAAAAGCAAAATAATAAAAACATACTAATCTACTGAAGAAGAAAAGTAAATATAAAAACATATTAAAGATAAAAAAAAATAATTATGCTACAACAATATCAATCCGCTTCTTAACACTTTTATTTTAATTGTTTTTAATTAGACAAATTTGTTTGCATTAGATATACAATCAGAGCATGCTTTAGAGCTGACATCTTATGATTTTGGAGTCGTTTGAGCAAAGGAAAACTTCGAAAAGTCATTTTTAAAATGAAATATGAAGATAACGAACAGACCTCTAAAAACATCAGAGGTGGGATCAGGTGCCATGGAGGAGCAAGCACTCCCTGTCGATCGGTCACAACCGCCATTTGCTCTTTGTCATGATCGGGTAAACGGTAAACGGAAAAAAAAATCCGTATTCAGTTCAGTATGCATGTCCACAATTTTTATCTGACTGAAAACACGTTTTTATCCGATCGTTGACTTCATACTCACTTTTATTAAGTAGACGATACTTAACTAAAGACACTATTTAATTGATTTGTAGTGCCATGGAAAAGTTCAAGGTCAGAAGGTCAAGATTTAAAGTATAAACTGAAAGAGTATGTTTTTTGGCATAGCATACGGTTCCAAAGTTCATTAATATGCAAGAGATTTCCGCTTTATTCCATCATGATATTCAGAAAACCTTAACCTTGATTCTTAATACACCGAATGGGTTTATTTTTCTATGCTCGGTGAAAGTAGTCCGATTATTTGGTTGAACAATCTTTTATCAAATTTACATAGTAAAGTAAGAAAAGAATAATCTTGGAACCCGCCCCCCCCCCCCCCCGAAACACAGAACTGTGGTAAAATGGTAAGGAGAGTCAAATATATGAAGGGAAGGACACCATCCCCCAACCCCCAACCCTAACCCCTAGCCCAAAGTATTAAGCTTTAATCAATCATTCAGCTGTAAAATAACTAAAACGCAGTTTTCAAAATACGAAATTTCTGTATGTATCTCCCAATGTTGCGTCTACGTAAGATTGGTTGTTAATAAGTTCCTATTTACATTCCAACAAATCCAGAAACTAAAGGTTGCATGGAGCATCAGAGTATGCTTTCAAAATTGCAAATCATCAATGCAGGATTTAAATTGCTGAATTTAGAATTTAAATTCCAGTTCAGTGCAGCATCCAAAATATCTGGGATAGAGACTTGGAAAATTATTACTCCAAACCTTTAATCTATTCGCTCATCTATAGAAAGTATAAGTCATGCAGTCTCCGATTCGCAACTGTTAATAGCGATCACAAGATGATATATTTATACCAGATATATCAATGTAAGTCTTAAAAACTTGGCCCCAGAGTGGAACAAGATCGGTGATATATTCAAATTAATCATACAGTGTTTAGACTTCCTCCTAAAACATCTATAATCTCACTCATCCAGAAAAAAATAGGTGTAGCATCTAGAGAAAGGTTTGCATATTTAAACGAAATTGTTAAAACTTTGCAAAAAGTTTTTGGCTACTTTTGAAAATTTAAAAACTCATAAAATTTCTGGCAAATAGAGGGGATAACAATACTATACTGCATTTTTTAAGAGAGCGCAGGTATAAAACTACGAATAAAATTTAAAAGATAAAATAAAGAACATAGAGTTTTTGCACAGAAATGCAACCATACATTAAAGTTCAATGAATGTAGGCCTTCATGTACGACATTTTGCATTATGTGGGTGACTCTGGCCATTATTGTTGTTTTAGTGTGTTTGATATGGGGTCTAACTGGGCGACCAAATGGACTTCCACCAGGTCCTACATGTTTTCCAATCGTAGGGAATGTCGGAATCTTCAAACCATCAGAATCTGTGAAAGCTCACAGAAGACTGAGGAAGATTCATGGAGACATCTATACCATAATGATCTTCCATAAGCCCATCATATTTGTACACGGATTCTACAACATACGAGATGTATTAGTTAAGCATGGCGATGTCTTCTCTGAGCGACCAAGATCTCTTGCCACTGATATTGCAGAAGGAAATGGTAAAAGTTTAGCACGTTTATTTTATCTTACGATGGGGATGATAAATAAAAATCATGCCCGTTGGTATGCACAGAACAATAGGGAACCTTTACTGTATTGGCGTAAATCCATTGTATAGACCACAAGTATAAATTAAACACTGCACGTAGAGCCTATGATATCAGAGAAATAACCATTAGTATCGGGCAATATTTATCATCAGGATGGGACCAGTGAAAAAAGAAAAGAAAAAGTCCAGGTCCTATACCTTACAGAATGACAAAAAATTGCAAAAACACATGCAACCTGAAAATGTATCGAAGTGGTAATTAAACAATATGAGCCATGTTTCATTTTTCAGTTCATAACGATAAGGGATATCTCTAAGCACTTCGGTACAAACCTTAAAAATCTAATTCAATTTATTGCATGTCTCTATATTTGGGACCAAGGGTTGTTAATGTTATTAGAAAAAATGGAGTTTCTGAGATTCTAAGATGATTTGAATTTTCATCCAACATCATGTTAAGGTCTGTCAATCGACTTTGGCGGTTCCCTTAATTAATCATAACTTTTATTTTTCAGTGAGTTATGGCAAATTTGGTTTTGTTTTCTTGTAATAGTATGAACTTTCTATCTCTTAAATAATACAATAATTTCCAGACAATCTAGATATGTAGTGATGTATTTGTACACTGTATGCTTTGCTAATTTAACTTAAGTGTTAATTTTTTTTTACATTGAATTTAATAGAGGAAAAATATGAATGTCCCATCAACATCATTTGTAAAAAGATTGTTCGTCCCTAATGAAGGCAAAAAAGTAATGTCCATCACACTTTGCACCGGTCTCACCCTGGTGATAAATATTGCCTAATCCTATTGATATCAGTTATTTTGATTATAAAAAGTATCTTGTTGTAGCATCACTGTTAGGGGGTGACCCATATTAACTGACTCTTCTAATTTTAATCAACATTTTTAATTTCTTATTTACCTGTCTAGGTGTGTTGTGGTCATCAGGTTCGTTATGGAAGGAAATGAGAACTTTCTCATTGATGACTTTGCGTAAGTTTGGATTCGGGAGACGTTGCTTGGAAAACCAAATCATAGATGAAGTAGACTGTTTGATGGAGAAATTGGAGAAATATGAAAACGAGGCTTTTGATATTCAAAGTTTACTAAACGCATCCGTGGCAAACGTTATTTGTTCACTTTTATTCGGTAAAAGGTTTGATTATGATGAGACAAGATTTCAGCGTTTAATTTATCTATTGTCAAGGTTCTTCCGCAGTATCTCCTTATCTTCACCAGTGTTTCTTTTTCCCTCTTTACGCCATATTAGAATCTTTAACATCGACTCAGTTAAAGAAAATACGAATGCTATGACAGCATTTTTTAACGAAATGATAGAGGAGCACAGAAGAAATTTTGATGAGAACAACATCAACGATTTCATCGATGCTTACCTTCTGGAACAAAAGCAAAGAGGAAATGAAATCAACACTAACTTCACAGGTACTTTTTCATATATAAACTGATCTGTTCAAGATAATCGTGGGTATTTGTTGGAATTTTTTTTTTTAATTGAGCTTATACGACACATTCAAACCTTTTTTTAAATTGCTTAAACCGGCAAGATCATTAGATTGCGATATAAAAAGACCCTAATTTATACTGTATGTAATTAAAAAAAAAAGAAGATACAAATATGTGTTATTGAATATAACAAGAGCACCACTAAGCGGAGCATCCCTCGCGGCAGGAACATCACCGGGAGTGGCAATGTCTCAATACGAGAGAAAAATTCTCAAGAGGGACGTTATTGAAGATAAAATCATCTAGTTATGTTTAAGATAAGGTAAAGAAAATAAAATATGTTGCAGCACTAATTATTTTTGTAACAAAATCATCGGGGGGGGGGGGGATTTTTAAACCAAAGTGCATAGCATCGGGGGGGGGGGCATAACATGCATACGTAACTGGGCAGTTTCCCTTATTCCTAGCAGAAACATATCACGTATGCTCTAAGTTTCAGTAATGTACCTTCCTAGGTATATCTCAAAGTTGCATAAAATGCATAAATGCATAAAATCTGATAATACCCACGGAGACAGTATTTTTTCGTAAAAAAAATGACAATATACCGGTGTTGAGAGGTCACTGAAACAAGGGACCTAGACTTGCAAAATGTCTTTATAGCTTCCAGGAATTACGTGTGCCTCACGAATAAATTCCATGTTGTAAACAGACACCAGTGGAAATTTGGTAATGAAACCGCGACGTTCATCAAATTATTTCAATTACTCAGCATCCGAGATGAAACTTAATTCATACATACTGTCTCAAGATACGCACAATAATATGACAATACGCAAAAATTTAATACAAAGTTGGGTGAACTTACTGAAGCTAGTCTATCGAAGCGACCCGAATTTTCCAAGGTTGATTAAGCGGAAGCGAGTATTGTCAAGTCGTACATAAAATTTCAGGGTTTGAAAGTAGTAAAAACGCAATATTTTGAAAAATATTTCACCGATTAATTTGAAAATGAATAGGGTTCGTCCTTTAACAATGCCACATAAGTATGTGAAAGCTGAGAATTGATAGTCCAAAGGTTCACTTTAAATCTTGCCCACAAGCTGTAACGGACACACTAACACACACACATACGCACAGTAGCGATGCTATATCCCCTCCGCAACTAGTTGCTCGAGGGGATAAAAATTGTTTTTTTTTTCTGTTTTGAAATAGACGTCAGGAAAGATTATAAATGTATGAAAACCGAATTTTTTTTTTAGCTCACCTGAGATTAAAGCTCAAGTGAACTTTTCTGATGACATTTCGTCCGTCGTCCGTCCGTCCGTCCATAAACTTTTCATATTTTCGACTTCTTCTCCAGAACCACTGGGCCAATTTCAACCAAACTTGCCAAAAAGTATTTTTGGGTAAAAGATATTCATGTTTGTTCAAATGAAGGGCCACGCCCTCTTTCAAGGGGAGATAATTAAGAATTAGTGAAAATTTGGTGATATCTTTTAAAAATCTTCTTCTCAAGAACCACTGGGCTAAAAAAGTTGAAACTTATGTGAAACCTTCTTTACATAGTGTAGATTCAAGTTTGTTCAAATCATGACCCCCCGGGTTTGGATGGGGCCACAATGGGGGATCAATTTTTTACATAGGAACATATAGGAAAAAATCTTCAAAAATCTTCTTCTCAAGAACAGCAAAGCCATGATTAGTCATATTGGTTTGGAAGCATCCTCATGTGATGTAGATTCAAGTTTGTTCAAATCATGACCCTCGGGGGTAAGGCTGGGCCACAATGGGGGATCAAAGTTTTACATAGGAATATATAGCAAAAAATCTTTTAAAATCTTTTTCTCAAGAACAGCAAAGCCATGATTAGTCATGTTGATATGGAAGCATCTTCGGGTAGAATTAGGTTTGTTCAAATCATGGCCTCTGGGGGTAGGGTTGGGCCACAATGCGCTATTGTTAGTTTAACATAGGGATATATGGGGGAAAAAGTCTTTAAAAATGTTTTTCTCAAGAACAGCAAAGCCATGTTTAGTCATATTGATATGGAAGTATCTTGAGGTAGTGCAGATTCAAGTTTGTTCAAATCATTACCCCCAAAGGGGTAGGGTGGGGCAACATCTATAAAAATCATGACACCTGGGGGCAGGGTGGGGTGACAACATGGATTAAAGTTTTACATAGGAATTTATAATGGAAAAATCTGCTGATGAAGAACAGCAAGGCCATATTGACTCAAGTGAGCGTTGTGGCCCATGGGCCTCTTGTTATCAATACTTGACAAAAGACAGTCTGATGTCTATCCATTTTGGTCAGAGTGTAATGCCATGACCTTTATTTTACTTATCTAATCCAAAATATCCTTTTTATGGAAAGCACCATTACTATGAATGGTCACAAAGTTTTACTTCTACTTTTACAGATGAAAATCTGAACCAAACTTTAAAAGACTTCTTTGGCGCAGGAACTGAAACTACTTCCACAACATTGAGATGGGCGTTTCTGTTTTTATTTCATAATCCACATTGGCAGAAAAGACTTCAAAAAGAAATTGATGACGTCATAGGTCAGGGACAACCCAAAATGGAACACCGGGATCTTTTGCCATTTGTAGATGCATTCATACTGGAAACTCAGCGACTATCAAATATTTCTCCCCTAAATGCTCCACATGCAGGTAAAGAAGACACTATGTTCAAAGGGTATCTCTTTCCGAAAGGTACCACTGTGCTTTGTCTTTTGGATTCCGTATTGATGGATCCGGAATTTTTTCCTGAACCTTCAATGTTTAAACCGGAGCGGTTTTTAGACGAAAGCGGGAGTTGTCATGGACAGCTTAAAGACAAGCTGGTCCCCTTTTCGTTAGGTATGAATATGAAATAAATGCTTTCAGTGTTGATAAAATGTCGAGGAAAACAATGAAAAAGAAATTATCATAGAAATTGTCTAGTTCAATCTAAATTTGAATTACACAGATAATTAAAACTAGGATATTTGCTATTACTGTATATTATTTAGGAATTATTCGTGTTTCAATGAAATGTCTTCTTTTTGCTCCGACAGGGCCCAGAGTGTGTCTAGGAGAGGCACTCGCCAAAATGGAGTTATTCCTTTTTTTCACCAGATTTTTACAGAAGTTTGTGATAAAACCAGAGGATCCCGAGTGTTTGCCTTCTCTGGAGGGAAACCTTGGGGTTACTAACGCGCCACAAGATTTTAGAATGAGACTTGTAAAACGTTAAGCTGCAGTAGACTGAGCATTATTGATAGTTCTGTGTCACAATGACTGAACTGTATCAGGAGGTAATGAAAAAGATTTTTTTTTTCATTTCTTAATAGTTAATTGATTTTATATTTTATAAAAATTCTATTAATTGATACAAATTTTGAACGTTTTTTTTCCGTTGATTTATAATCATGGATTTGTTCCTCACGGCTGTTTCCTTTGGAGTGGAAAGGAATCGTCTGTGGGTTCCGTAACCCTCCGTTCTTAGTGATTATACCTCGTAAAATAATAACTTTTCAGGGATTTCTTTTTCAAATTAGCAAATTGTGACTAACAATTGTAGACCAAAGATGTGAACATATACATGCTATACACTGTAATTTATATTACACTTTTTATATAATGTACTCTGTTTTATATACTAAAATTTTCTCAGTATATTTAGAATGATTTGTGCATACATTTTACTAACAATATACTTTATTACAATGATTATGCATGTTCTTTCTTTACAATTATGAAGAGCCATTCTCTGTAATGACTTGAACTTTTATATAGGAGCTGTGGCACGCATAGTCTCAGAATTTCTCCAAACTCTCTATGATAAAAGTCTTTGATACCGTAAACTCAAATCAGGCAAAAATTGGTTGCTACGTGTCATGGTTACCATAACAACATGTCCTAAAGTTTGAAAAATGGCATTTTTCAACATCCTCAGAGTCCCACAGTTAACGTTTGCAGCAAAGCAAACAAGTGGCAATGACTGTTTCTGAAAGCTGAAGGCCTGGTGTCTTAAATGCATGATAAACATGTTTGGTAAATCATCTATACCATACGTTACTATGGAAACCACGTATTCAAAAGTAATAATTTTGTTCATTTAATTTTATAAAGTCATACACTTAAGAATAAAAACAATTATAGGTTGAAATGCAAGCAAATAATAGAGAAGAGATCCTTGTAACATATACCAAGGACAAATTATGATATTTCTTATAGGTTGGCAATGGTTGCCATGGTTTTAATACCATGAAGGGATTTTAAATTTACTCTCTTAGTGTTTTAATCTTATCCTATCTTTTTAAAAAGCATATTTCTATATAACTGATGATCAATTTTTAAAGGCCTTGGTGTGACCCTAATTTTCGCATTTCAAAAAATTCAATTTCAATTCTTTAAATAGTGCGTTGCTATGGAAATAAGGCGAAAAAACATGCATAAAAATCTGAAAAAAACACTCTGTTTCCTTGGATACGTACAGTTGTATGTAGATTCTCAAAACTTTAATGATTGATATATGTGAACAACTAACCTGACTTTCAATTTTGACTATCACCCAATCTCTAACTGGATGCAAAAAGCTGGCACATAGGGTCTAATATTGACAAAAACTTAACAAAATCGAACATTTTCTCTTCTTGGTAACCATAGCAACAGTGTTGTATTTTTCAACAACCTTTATCAATATATGATATTCAACTTTAGTTCTACGAGATAAGTACTATTCAAGGTGATTCAAATAATATTTTTCTTGATTAAAAGGTTAGTAAATTCCTAAAGCAGCAAAAAAAATATCACTTTAAACAACTAGTACGTTGTTTCCATGGTTACACTACAAAGTAACAATTAATCTAAATTTTTCTTATGTTGTCGGTGTTGTAAGGTCCTAAGGATGCATATGTGCCAGTCATGAATTTTATTGTTTTTCCTCACGATAGTAGCATTAACCCAATCATAGTAACATATTTTGCATGGTGACACTGTGTTACCATGGCAACCATGAAAGTTATTTTTAGAATAATATTGCCAATACCTAATTACATGAGGTCAAATATTTTTCATTGTTTTTCTTACGTTGTTGATTGAGTTTGATCATGTAACATCTATCATTTGTGACTATAGAGCGTTTTTCAGCATTTTACAGCATCTAAAATGTATTCCAAATGTACCCATGGTTACCACTTACTTAGAGATAAATTCTAAATAGTTTCTTTATAGCATAAGTGGCAACAAGGTGTCATGTTTTGGGGAGAATGGTTTGTTTGTTTTTCTTAGTCTTTATTAAGGCTTAATAAAAATTTAAAGTAGCTGAAAATCTCAATTTTTTCAACTTTTCTGGCTGTTACCATGGCAACCAAGACACATAGCAACGAAATTTTATTTGATATACGTTTCTGGTGTCAATTTGTAATAATGGGCAAAGTTTCATCAAAATCGGTGACCATGCGTGGCAAAGAAGTTTAAGTGGTTACAGAGAATCGCTATTAAAGACTCCTTCACTTTCCTTAACTACGGAGTACTCCGTCTACCTGATTAATACATAGGGCTCCCTGCGACCGGTCGACAGGGGATGCTTACTCCCCCTAGGTAACTGATCCCACCTCTGGTGTGTCCAGGGATTTGTGTTTTTGCCCTGTTTTGGATTCGTTTTCTTTACTGGATTTGTGAGATTGGTCACTGTTCGTTATCTTCTCTTTATACATTTATACTAATAATAAAATTATACATACAAAAGAAACTATGTTTAATTGTACATGGCAGTAGGTAAGCTTGAAAACAACCTTTTTAGATAAAAGTAACAAATCTATTCTTTCTTAACCACAAGAAAATTTCATCTATCGTCATGTAATATGTCATTCACAAAGTTTCATTGACGTACTGCAACGTAAAAATATTAAAAGAAAATGCTTATCCCTCAATATCCTTAGAAAAGTAAAATATAATAGAATTTATACATTACAAGGTAAAATAACGCTGTTTTGTTACTTTTTAGTTTGAATTATGTCGACTTATTTTTGTAATTTAAGTTACTGAACATCAGTAATTTGTTTATCATATTAGATGACATCGATGTTCATAGATTAATTGTGACGATAACGAACAGTAACCATGCTCAAAGTCCAATCAAACAATACAAACTGTGAGCAGAGCAAACACAGACCTCTAAAAACGAGGTGGGATCAGGTGCCATGGGAGAATGAGCATCCCCTATCGACCGGTTTGCTCTTTGTCATGATCGGGTGAACGGAAAAATCCGTAGACCATTCAGTGTGAAAATAATGACCTAAAATTCGTATGAAAGACGTCAGCCAACATTCGATTTAACGATATATTTTATTTGCACTATTTACTGCATGTCATATGTATCTTTCAATTATGGCAATTTTATTTAGCAAATGATCGAAGAAATTCTAGTATTGATGTTGGTACGTGTTGAGTGTGGAGCGTCATATTAAGGATGCAATTTATTGCCATGAAATTAAACTGATACCACAATATTTATGGAGTTAACTCTTATGCAAATTATACCAAATTGATCTAACCAAAGGTTCCTTTTCAGATGCAATATATTCAATATGACAAAGGTATATATCTTAGTCTATGAAAAAAATCGCCTTTATATTTCCTTACAAAACCACAATGAACTTCATATCGACTGTAACATTGGGTCACGTTTTATGAATAAATGTTGGCAGTAATTGATTAAGGTTGAAAGTTTTTTAACACTTCTTGATCGTAAAACTGTTATTGATAGGGTTGTACATTTCTACATTTTTTTTTTTTAGAAAAGAAAAGGATATTTTACTCTAAGGAAAACAGTAAATATAAATATATAAATATATAGAGGATATTCAATGTTTTGTAGTTGGATCTGGAATTATTTACAATTTCAACAGTGAATTTCTGTAATTTATTATAATTTGAACAATGAAATACTGGAATAAAAGCGATAATTTGAAAATGATTTTTTTTTTTGGAAGTGAAAAATATCAAAAATGATATATTTCATTTTCTCCAAATTATTATTGATATCCATGTTAACAATTTTCATTCTCACAATTGCTTAGATATGACGTCACAGCCTACGACACTGCGTTACGAAAAGGCAGTGGCGAAAGGAAAATCAAAGAAAATGTAACAAACATAAAATTCAATGTTTTTCTAGTTGGACCTGGAATTTATTTCACTCGTGAGACAGAACTTTTTTTTATATGTTCGCACTCGTGAAAATATCACAAAATCCTGTCCCACTTGTAAAATAAAATTTTCTTCTAAGTCTGAAATTTGCATAATTTGAGCCGTATTTAAAACTTTACATCACAGATCCAATTTTTTTTCTTCATTTTTTTTTAATTACACGAAACTTCTATGGCTTCATAGATGCTTTCCTTCTAGAACAAAACAAAAATCAAATGAAATCAACACTGCATTCATATGTAATTCATCATGTTTGAACTGATTTGATCAAGAAATAACATGAGCTCTGCTGGAGAATTTTTTTTTAATTCAGCGAATGAGACATTTTGAAACACATTTTTTTTTTTATCAATTAAGGTAAGTCACTCGTCAGCTTTTATGAAAAGTTTGGTCAAAACCTCTTATATCAAAACTATTATTTACAATTTAATTTTTATTACATATTTGAATTAAACAATAATTAAAAAAAAAATGTTGAATGTTAATTTTACACATCTGTATCCTTATTTATCGAAATTGAACATTGCACGCAAGGAACAACTTTGTAAATGCTTATTCGAGAAGTCATGTGACTGCCATATGGCTGTTCAATAAAACTTGCTTAACTTACTCGATAGAACTGTGTATTTCTACATTTCTTTTTAAAAAGATAAGATTATTTTACTCTAAAAAAAAAAGTAAATATAATATAAATATACATGTATAGACAAGTTATTCAATTTTGTTTAATTGGATACGGAATGTAAAGCACGAGTGAAAATATTCCTTTTAAAAATCCTGTCTCACGAATGAAATAAATCCATATCAATCTACAAAATATTGAATGTTCTGTTTATAATATAGTGCCTTGAAACTGTTCATCTTTCTTTACAGGAGTAAAACGCCTGATTTCATTTTCTTCTTTTACTAGGAATAGGAAAAGTTTGACTACAATAAAGGACATAACAAAACTTACTATGTTATACAAAATATAAATATTTGACTTTAAAATTGTGCTAGATAATTATAACTTACTGATATAATTAAACATATAAATATGATAAATAATAAATACTAATAATAAATAAATAATACATGACAATACTGAAAATTTAGCCGACCAGAAAATATGAAATTTATGCTCAACCTGTGTGTAGTAACTTTGTTTACATTCTTTAACTGACAATTCACCTTGTTTCAATGCATGAGAATACAATATGAAGATATACATCTATTGAAAATTATGTTGAAACAACTATAGAATTTATAATTACCGTGATTATTACATCGAAGAAAAACAGCTCAAGTACTACACTATAGAAATCAACTCATGAAAGTATGGCGCGTTTCAAGTTCATGTTTTTACCATAAAATACCTTTCTGACAAAATTGGAAAATACAAATAAATTCAATATGATAAAATTGGAAAACATCAATCAAACACTTTACACCGGCCCCTTAAATATGTTCCTAACCTTAACATATTTTATAATTG